CAATCCTCAAGGCTTACACAACTTATGCATGCAGCGGTAAGGTAAGCAATAAACACTGGTCAGGGTAAGGCATGTGTGGTGAACGACTTACCTACTTCCTCAGCGATGCGGACAATTGTCAAAATTCATCAAGCGGGTTTTAGGTCGGCAATAGTGAAGAAGTTCGGAAGTCGTGTGCGTCGATTGACGACCGATATCGGTGACAAAGGCTCGTCCAAACTGACATATGGTAGTAATTGACTAACATTGTTACAAAAGAAATCAAACTTAGAATTATCTCACCTTAAAAGGACTGCTGTCTTTTGCAGATATAAACGAGAGAGAACTTCGACTTATTACCGCTATGACGGAAGACTTGCATCTAATCTTGCTTGAGTGCCCCAACATCAGCTCACCGGCCGACGTTGCCCAGCTAAATATGGCGCCTATAATGTTTCTATTCAGAATCAGCAACAGAAAGGTAAACATATGTACACACAGCGAGTAGGTGCAAGACATTAAATTAAATTCCAGATATTTGTGTAAGAACGAAATGGTAGAGAAACTGACTTTTAAGATAACTAAAAGTGAACAACTGCATTTTTGTTCCTCTTTACCATCAGCTATCATTGAATCTTTCATCGATGACCCTAACGAGAACTGGTCCTCAAACGAAATGTTGTTATCAAAGTTGACTAAAAAGATGCGATGATAGTGAATGGCACAAAACTGCTCAATAACAATATTTCGTTGGAGAACATTAAGCATGCATGCACATATTATCTTCTGATATGAAAAAATAAATAGATAAGAAAACAGCTATTTCGGGAACTTTGAATTATGACTAAAACAGTGAGAAGTTAGAGTTATCTTCCTTCTCTTTTAATCAACTCAAGGACCAGTTCTCGTTTAAGTTCCAAATTTTTAGGACACAGAAATTGGGATAAATACGATGTGTCAGAAATGGGAAAAGAAAATCTAGCAAGATTTTTTGGAACTTGTTTTTATAGATATTTAACAGCATGATTAATAATAGCAAGGTGAAAAAGCAAATGTAATCCAGAGAGAACTAATCAATAAAAGCCAATTGACAGATCCTCTTAAAACTTCTTAAAAAGACTGGCATCAAAGGAGCAGGCGCAATTGCTGGAGCTGATGCTCTAAATCAGTTGACACCAGACCAGGTTTGTAGGATCAGGGAACATACTTGTTAAGTAATGAATGGGTACATTCAGGTAGACATCATTATCGAAGACAATGGCTTAGATGATGCCACACGAAAAATCTGCAGGTTTTTGGAAGCATATTGGCTAGCGTTACATCCTACCACACCTATTCTCGAGGATGAGTACCTCAATGAAAGCACCAGTTCAACACCAAAGGATGAGCAAACAAACAAATAAATTTTATTGCAACAACTACAGTTGAACTCAAATCTTTGATTTGTTTCTAGTACGCTTATGTGAATAAAGACTTCCAAAGGCAATACAAGATTACAATGTAATGGAAAAAGGCTGATAGACATCGGAAAAACAAATAGCATTCTTTAATGATCAATGCCCACTTTGTTATTGTTAACACACTTTCTCTCTGTTAATCAAAGTAAATTTTAAGAAATGACCTAAATGGTAATTTGTTCTCTCAATCAAGATGTGTATCCAATCCTCCAGTTATCCATAATTATGTCAAGATGAATTAGAGTTGCTAATATCCTGCAATGAACAACCTTTTAGGGGATATGAAGTTAAAAGTGAAGTGACGTGAGGTAAAGCAACCAAGGAATTAATCCTCATTTTCTCAAATCAAAGCATAATATTCACGTGAAAATCAGTTTACACTGGTAGCGAGTTACTTGCCTACTAAAGTTCCAAAACTGACGAAGTGCATATGCTCGATATAGGCAATTACAGAAATAAGGCATAAATGCAACTAATTAGACATATTAACATACGACCGTCGCGTCGCGGCATACTACACAGTCCCCTTATTCTGCGCAACTCTAAGCCTCGTTCTGGGTGAAGCTACGCATGTGCAAATTGACAAAATCAAATTTGGATGGT